GGGTTATTTGGCAAACAAAGAAAGAAAATGATTTTCCTTGAAACTAACTAGTAACGCATCTGCCCTTGCCATTAGCCCTCGACAGGCTCAGACTACAGATTATGGTGGATATCTGAAACAGCAACACCAAGAATGGTTACTCACTACAATATGGTGCAAACACATGTAACATTTAGGATGCTTTTGATATCAAGTTTTGCTGGTTAGCTTTGTCCTCGACAGGGTACAAGATGACCTACAATCTAAAACATGACATTTCTGAAATTGCTTTGTTCAGAAGAAATAATGGTCAATTAAATTCTAGGAAATGAAAATAAAATAGGAAATATACAAAGACAGTTTACTCCAGAAAACTACAGTTCAGTTCAATTAACAACAACAGAAACATTAAAATGCTGCAAGAACTGGTAACTTAAACAGGGTTCGTACAGATACTGCAAAATAACATTCCAGGACTTTCAAGGACTAAAATCAGATCCCACTTATTAATCAATATTGTTATTATCTTTCAAATTCTAATAAATAAACTAATAAAACAAAATGGTGCAAATAAAGTGCAGCACATGCAAAGAATGCAACGACTGGCAACTTTAACATTTGAAAGGATACTATGGCAAAGTTGTCGCTTTCCTTATTCAAACTGATTTTATTTCATGAATATATGATTGACCTGAAGAATGAAAGCTCTATCATACACTTGGAAAATTATGAGCTTTATCACGCTCTTAGACACTAGGGGTGTGACAATACACTTAACGCGACTAGCTCTTTTCCCGCAGCCAAACGCCGCACGCCGGAGATCTTTAAGCCCTGACACACACACGCTCAGATGAGCCACTGCTGAAGCTGTACCTGTCCTCCTCTGCGTGGGTCCCAGCCGGCCACGATGATCCCGGCCATCAGCTCCTCTCTGTACCTGTAGCACATGTCCCGGAACAGACTGGCCGCCGTCTGCACCAGAGGAGCCTCGTCCAGCTCGATGCTGAAAGAGAGACAGAAGACGAGAGTCAGAGCTGGAGAGACGTCCCGTGGCAGGAGCCGTGTGCGCCGCTGTACCTGTGGAAGCCCAGCTGGTAGGTGACGGCGTCAGCGATGGCCTGCGTGTCCGCCGCCGAGCCGGAGCGGCAGCAGAAGATGCGCTCGTGGATGGGAGTGAGTTTATCCGTCACGCGGTTGGCGATGTAAGCGCTGCACACATCACATCACTCAGTTAGACAGAGCAGAAGCACCAGACTGACCAGCTAAACTGATAGCCGTCTCTCTCTCACCCGGTGGTGGTGCGAGAGTCAGCACCGATCACCACTCCTCCCTCAAACTCCACCGCCATGATGCTGGTCTGAACAACACAATCACCACACAATCAGTCTCCCCTCAGCAATTTTAAGCTTATATCTCAGATTAGGCGTCTAAAAATGTGAAAAAGCTGTGAATTGTAAACTCAGGATTCTGAGAAAAAGAGTCCATTTCAAAATTGTGAGATATAAACATTTAGCTGCTAGAAAAACAGAAAAAAATAAATAAAAATAAGGCAGAATTGTTAGATAAAAAGTCATTTACATGTACATTTTTAGAAAAAAATAAAATAAAATAAAGACCAAGATGTGAGATAAAATGTAGGAATGTCGAGGAGTCCAAAATGTGCAAATATAAAAATATAAACTTGCAGTTGAGGGGAAAAAAAAGTTTAGAAAATTAAAAGTAGTCAAATAAAATTAAAAATAAATAAATACAAAGTAAAAAAACGTACTTTGAATTAAAGTCCAAAATTTGAAATGCACTCAAATAGATGTAAAAAAAAATAAAAAATAAAAAATTGTTAGATAAAAAAAAGTCACATTAAATTTTTTTTTAGCAATTTTGAGAACAAAGTATGAATTGAGATAAAAGCATCAATCTTTCAGAAAACGTAAACTGTGACATAAAAAAGGCGCACTTTTGCGAGGAAAAAAAAAGTAATAACTACGAGATTAAAGAAAGTATGAATTGTGAGACAAAGTTGCAGCATAAAAATAAACTGAATTAAAAAAGCTACTTCAGGCGCGAGATGAACAGGCTTCGATAGTAAACCCGAAGCAAGGTTTAATTCTGTTATATCATCTACAGGTGCATCTCAATAAATTAGAATGTCGTGGAAAAGTTCATTTATTTCAGTAATTCAACTCAAATTGTGAAACTCGTGTATTAAATAAATTCAATGCACACA